ATTAAAAATAATATGAATCACACTAAATAAGCTGTTAAATTTGATTATAGAACCTTAATTAAAAATCCTTGTTAAATAAATTGAATAGATCAATAAATACAAATTTATTATTGCTGAAATAATCTCAAGTATTATCATAAATACAACCTCTAATATAATATATTGTATTTATGAGCAAAGATTAAAAAGAAATAAAAATATTTCATAAAGCCTATTTTTCTTTAATAACTCTACTAGGTAAAATTTATATTGATAATATAAAAAAACAATTCATTTATCACTGAAGTGAAATAGGAGTTCTAAATATTGTTATTTTTTGTATATAAATTATATATTTTGAGATAAAATGGTTTAGATAAGAAATTTTGTTTTTACCAAGTATTGAATAGATCAACTGGTTCGAGAATTCAGGATCATCAAAAGATAATATTTAATTCTTTCTTCAAAAGTAGAATTATAATATTTAGAATCACTTTGATCAATTTCAAATATGTAGCTCAAAATTTATGCTTTATTAGAGGGGTTTAAAATTTAATATAAATTATAATATAGAGATAATTAATATTATTAATACATATAATTAAAAAAAACTTAATTTAGGCTTTATCATTAAAATATTTGGTATAGTATTATGGGCTTTACCATCAGGCAATTTTCAAACAAATCTCCGCTGATAAAAATCCATCTTTGATTTCAACAGGAGCTTTTGGCGTATCAATTTTAACCCTATGAAAATGATTTATAAATATGAATACCAATCAAGTTCATAACAATAGATAGTCTCATTTTTTTTAATTATATGACCAAAATCTAAATATTGAGTACTTTAATTACTTATTAATTATCTTAGATTCTTGGAATAAATAAATTAATTAAGTTACTAAATATTTAAATTTAAATCCTTATTTTAAGACATTATCACCAATTTCTTTGATAAAATATTCGGCAATATGGTTTTTTAATAGTTTAATTAAAATATTTAAAATAACCTAAATAAAATACAATAATTTATTGGTTTCATTTTGATATAAGATATTAGTAATTTGCTTTTATAATTTTTGTGTTTTAATAATATAATTTTATTTATACTGGAGGGACTTGCAAAAATTTTAAATCAACTTCTTTTATTTTTTCCAAATTTAATATTTCTAATTATTATATTCGAGGTTGAATGATAATCAAAAAGTTGAGAATTTAGATAAATTTATATTAATTATTAATTTGAATATTGAAAACATTATTTTATGATTTAATAATGCTACTCTTTTCAAATTGTTTTTCTATTCACTTTAAAAAGTTAATTTTAAAAAGAAAATTAAGAGAAATAGTGATTAAAATGAAATCAAATTACAAAATTTTACTTAATAAATTCTTGATACAATTTTTGTAGTTCTATAAAGATTTAATACAATAAAAAGCTGATTAATAAAATTGATTGCTTAAAAATATCTTATTCCACTTAAATATGGATTGTCAAAAATTTTTTCACTAAGCTCCAATTGGGTATTTGATAGAAATTTTCAGATTTATATCATATAATTATTTTTAATTGGTCATGAGTATTTTAATATTAAACAATTATCTCCAAAATTTAAAACCTTAAAAGCCTTAAGAAATATCAATAGTGATCCTTTTATGAGTCAATCAGAAATCTTTTCGAATAAACTGGAAAAACTAAATGGATAGATTGGTGATTCTTCAATTGACACCATGCTTTTAAGAAAACTTCTGAAACAAAAAGCAGTTACATCAACTTATAAAAAGCTACTGTAAAACAATGACTCAAAAGAAACGATAATTTAGATTTGCAGACTCAAATTGTAAGCTAATAACTAAGACTATAAAAGAATGGCCATAAAAAGAGTTTACTTATAGACTCAGATGTTGAAAAGGCCTAGCAGCCACAAAAATCATTTCACTGATTAGATTTACTAGTGCCAAAAATAAAATTATAAAGCATTGAAAGTTAATCTAATAGCAGATATAATATTAAATTTAATAAATTCATTTCAAATGATTAATCTAATGTAAATTGATTTGTTTCTATTTATAATAACTATTTTTATGAAAGAAAATTATCTAACCAATATGATTGTTTCTTTCAACTTAATAATTGCTCTTTTTGGATTTACAACTAAAGATCCAAAAACCTTTAAATTAGCTAATTCGATTGTGTCAATATCCAATTTATTACTTGGTTATTTTGTCAAATTAAAATAAATTTCTAATCTATATTTGCTAAAATATAATCAATTGTATAAACCTTTTCTAAACTTTTTTTTTTTTTTTTTATGTCAAATTTACAATACTATTGGATGTCTCCTTCGAGTTGCTTTTTATCATCTATATAAATATTCAATATTAGTGCCTTTCAATATTCTATATCAATTTTGATAAGCTATATCATTTAATGAACTTACATTCATCTATGCAATAATACTTTCCACTTAAAAATACTCAAGATAAGCATAAGCAGAATGATTTATTTGTTCTAATATGCATCAAAAGATGATAACTCAATTACATCAATGGATAGAAAAAAATCAAATAATTTTTATTTATTCTTATCCTTTTATAATTTCGTGGCCAAATCAAAAAATGCCTGACAATGTATCTTTGACTGCCATAATCTATTGTTTTAATAGCTAGTCTAATAAATATGGTATAAATCAAAAATAGTTTCCATCAATTTTTAGAATTTAAATTTTAAATAATTAAGGAATAGAGATATCTTATGGATTTAAATTATTGATCATTCTATTTAAGATATCTATGTTAATTTTACTTTTTTTTAATCCTTAAGATAGTAATTCATTTTAATTAATTATTAGGATTTGATAAGTATAAACCCATACCTTACACTTCTTTAAAAACAATTAATTTATTATATCGGAAGAGATGAATATTAGAATTAATAAGATATAACAGATGAAAGGAATGCTTAGTGAAGAATATAAAAAAAAGATACATCTATATGCTTTATTAAATATAACGTTAAAATTAGTAACAAAATTTATATTTTCAATTTTATATTCAGTTAGTTAAAGGATTATTTTTGTGATATTATATGAAAATCTGTAGCATCAATAATTTTATAGAATTCATTTTTAGAAATCCTCTTTTTTCTAAATTAAATTATCTTTACTTTATTTCATTCCTAATTTTAGAGAATGTTTTTTAAGATTTCACGAATATTTTATTTTCGTTTTTTTTTNTCTGAAACAAAAAGCAGTTACATCAACTTATAAAAAGCTACTGTAAAACAATGACTCAAAAGAAACGATAATTTAGATTTGCAGACTCAAATTGTAAGCTAATAACTAAGACTATAAAAGAATGGCCATAAAAAGAGTTTACTTATAGACTCAGATGTTGAAAAGGCCTAGCAGCCACAAAAATCATTTCACTGATTAGATTTACTAGTGCCAAAAATAAAATTATAAAGCATTGAAAGTTAATCTAATAGCAGATATAATATTAAATTTAATAAATTCATTTCAAATGATTAATCTAATGTAAATTGATTTGTTTCTATTTATAATAACTATTTTTATGAAAGAAAATTATCTAACCAATATGATTGTTTCTTTCAACTTAATAATTGCTCTTTTTGGATTTACAACTAAAGATCCAAAAACCTTTAAATTAGCTAATTCGATTGTGTCAATATCCAATTTATTACTTGGTTATTTTGTCAAATTAAAATAAATTTCTAATCTATATTTGCTAAAATATAATCAATTGTATAAACCTTTTCTAAACTTTTTTTTTTTTTTTTTATGTCAAATTTACAATACTATTGGATGTCTCCTTCGAGTTGCTTTTTATCATCTATATAAATATTCAATATTAGTGCCTTTCAATATTCTATATCAATTTTGATAAGCTATATCATTTAATGAACTTACATTCATCTATGCAATAATACTTTCCACTTAAAAATACTCAAGATAAGCATAAGCAGAATGATTTATTTGTTCTAATATGCATCAAAAGATGATAACTCAATTACATCAATGGATAGAAAAAAATCAAATAATTTTTATTTATTCTTATCCTTTTATAATTTCGTGGCCAAATCAAAAAATGCCTGACAATGTATCTTTGACTGCCATAATCTATTGTTTTAATAGCTAGTCTAATAAATATGGTATAAATCAAAAATAGTTTCCATCAATTTTTAGAATTTAAATTTTAAATAATTAAGGAATAGAGATATCTTATGGATTTAAATTATTGATCATTCTATTTAAGATATCTATGTTAATTTTACTTTTTTTTAATCCTTAAGATAGTAATTCATTTTAATTAATTATTAGGATTTGATAAGTATAAACCCATACCTTACACTTCTTTAAAAACAATTAATTTATTATATCGGAAGAGATGAATATTAGAATTAATAAGATATAACAGATGAAAGGAATGCTTAGTGAAGAATATAAAAAAAAGATACATCTATATGCTTTATTAAATATAACGTTAAAATTAGTAACAAAATTTATATTTTCAATTTTATATTCAGTTAGTTAAAGGATTATTTTTGTGATATTATATGAAAATCTGTAGCATCAATAATTTTTTTGAATTCATTTTGAGAAATCCTCTTTTTTCTAAATTAAATTATCTTTACTTTTTTTCATTCCTAATTTTCGGGAATATTTTTAAGATTTCATGAATATTTTATTTCTGTTTTTTTGTATTGAAGTGAATAATAAAAATTCTACAATTATTAAGTGAATTTATTAAATCAATCAAGCCCAGAATCCTTTAGTTTATCAGCTGCTCTAATTCTTTTTCAGAACTACAAAACTTTGCTAGATTACAACACAATTATACCTAAATATGCATCATACTTTTGTTCCTTTCAGACATATCTTTAAGGTTTAAAACCTAGTCAATAGCTTGTGTTAAATTTACTTAAGATTCAGATAGACAAGCTGTATACTCCCTTCTTCCCTGATGTAATTTTATATTTATACATCTATACATATTTTGAGCTCTGATTCGAAATTCACTAAATAAACTGGAATATACGCATTTTATAATACTGGAAACTTTCTATTGTCCTCAACCTCAACTACTGCAAATTTTATCACTTGTACTACCCCTGCAAGAAGTTACATTACTTTAAGTAGTACATATCCATCCGCTCAAACTTATACCTCAAACAATTGCAGAGATGGGGATTTTGTGTTAAAAGATTCATTTTTTCAAGGTACATGATTATCTGAAAATGTTTAATTTACAATAGGATCATTTTCATATACATATTCCTACACTTCCCCTTCAGATTATCAAATTATAACTTGATTTTGTGATAACATTCCTTTTTAAGTTAGAACTGTGAATTTTAAAATTGTATCATCTGGTCATGCTTAAATAACATTTACATCCTCTAATATAAATACAGGATTGGTTTCACTAAGAAATATTTTTATCTCAAGGCTGTAAATTATCTGTTATCCATCATGTGACTTCGGTACAGGTCCTAATTAGAATGAATGTACAAGTTGTCCATCAAATTTATACTGTTGGAAGGAAGAAGGATGCAAAAATATTTATGATATCTAAACTCCATTATTTTATAATGGATTTTGTTAATAATATCAAAGTAATTATTTTTAATTAAGATTATCTAGTTAGCATCATCAATTTCTTCTTATGATGTAAAATGGCTATTAATATATGACCAATAACATGTAGATACATCTCCAAAAGTTTTTTATTATGGTTCTTAAAATATATATGGAGTATTTAAGTTTAATTCTGGAATCTATAATTTTTTTTTAAAGTTGAATAGTTATTCCTATACAACCTATTTAATTGGATTGAAATTTTCAATTATTTTTTTTACGATATTCCAATTAATTGTGGATTATAATTTAAGATTATAGAATATCAAATTAATAATAATTGTATTTACTTCGTGATCAATTTTTTTAATAAAAATTTATGTAACCAATAACAATACATATTTTGGATCTATTTATAGATATGCTTCTGGAGTTCAAACCCATATATTAGCAATTTCAGATTCTAAATAAATGAATGATGCTTATTCAACGTATTCCTCAACTACAAGATATGTATTAATTACATATGTTAATATTCCTAAATATTCATATCTATTTTCAGCAATAGGCAACTATAAGTAAATCTCAAATTTATTTACATTAGCGATGACATAGCAGGATGGGGATTGTCTTAAGTTTAAATTACTTCAGGATATTGTCCTGAAAAGTGCTTATAGTGTGAAGTAGAGCAAGAGAAAATATTAATGAGTTAATATCGTTTTAATGTAAGGATTGTGAATATGGATACTATATTTATCGAGATGGTATCAATAAATAGGGTTAAGTGATTCTTAATGCACATCTGATTGCTCATCTCCATATTAAAAATAAAAATAGTATCATTGTTAGGATTATGATGATGAAGTACCTTGTATTTAATATTTTATTATTAAGACTCTTAATATTTGATTTAAGAATGATACAAATGCAGCCACAGACCCTGAATAATATGCATAATATACTTTAATTACTCAAAATGGAACAAACTTTTTAATTGGATCAGATATATATTATTCATATTAATCAAATATTAGAGTTTTTGGAGGACCTTTTGTATGGGCTTAAGCTAAATTTTAAAGAATTCATAATATATTATCTCCACATCATTGTGTCACTATTGCATTTTATATAGTTTATGGACCATCTTTCCCTTCAAATGGAAAATTTATATATTAGATTGAAAATAAAAATTCTAATTTAATTAATTCTGATGGTTCAAAATATGATAAAGTCTATGAAAAAATCAACCATAATACAAATACATTAATCATCACTGTTTTGGTCCAAATAATGAACCATTTTATGCTTATTGTGGATTCTACAATTATTATATTGCTGTTCATAATTGCTAACCTTATTGTTTATAATGTTAAAATTAAACTAAATGTACTTTGTGGAATAGTACTTATAATGCTAATATT